TGTCACCCAGGCTGGAGTGCAGTGGTGCAATCATGGCTCACTGTAACCTTGAACTCCTAGGTTCAAGACATTTCTCCCACCTTAGCCTACTGAGTAGCTGGGACCACAGGGGCATGCCAGCATACCAAGCTAATTTTTTAGTTTTTTGTAGAGATGGGGATCTCCCCATGTTCGCCACGCTGGTCTCGAACTCCTGGACTCAAGAGCTCCTCCTGCCTTGGCCTGCCGAAGTGCTGGGATTACAGGCGTGAGCCATGCACCTATCCTAGAATAGTTTTAAGAGAAAAGGTGGGAGATTCATTGTCATTCCACTGCCCAGGAGGAACCACAGTTAATATGAAAATTATTATCATTAATACTGGCAGGTGGTTGGAGGTGGGAAGTAGTACAGACAGGGACGCAATGACAAGTGTAAGCTTTCACCACCCTCCAGACTTTCTCTCCAGAACCCCAGGTTTATGTTTCAGAAAAATATACATACGTGCATATGCCAGTGTGAATGTGCATTTATTTAGAACGCTCGTTTTCATACTTGGCTGCACACTAGAGCTTCCTGGGGAAGCTTTAAAAAATTCTCCTGCTCAGGCAACACCCAGAGATGACATATATTTATTAATCTTAAAATATATATGTAGGCCGGGTGTGGTGGCTCACGCCGGTCATCCCAGCACTTTGGGAGGCCGAGGCAGGTGGATCTCCTGAGATCAGGAGTTCAAAATCAGCCTGGCCAATATGGTGAAACCCGGTCTCTACTAAAAAATTACAAAAGTTAGCTGGACATTGTGGCAGGCACCTGTGGTCTCAGCTATTTGGGAGGCTGAGGCAGGAGAATCGCTTGAACCCAGGAGGCGGAGGTTGCAGTGAGCCAAGATCGTGCCACTGCACTGCAGCCTGGGAGACAGAGCGAGCCTCCTTCTTAAAAAATAAAATAAAATAAAATGTATGTATATATAATTTGTAGAAAACATGAAGCATCACAAGAAACTTGAGAGTCAGGACTAGGGAAGGAGAGGTACATGGGTGACAAAGGGATCTTTTCTGTTTTTTTTTTTTTTAAATTTACTGCTGTTTTTCACCATAAAACTGGGGGTATATTACTTTTAAATTTAAACAACTATTAATAGTAACCTTTTATTATTTATTTTGTTTATTTATTTATTTATTTATTTTGAGACAGGGTCTCGCTTTATTGCCCAGGCTGGAGTGCAGTGGCACTATCTCAGCTCACTGCAATCTCTGTGTGCTGGGTTCAAGCAATTTTCATGCCTCATTCTCCCAGGTAGCTGAGATTACAGATGTGGGCCACCACACCAGGCTGATTTTTGTATTTTTAGTAGAGATGGAGTTTCACTGTGTTGGCCAGGCAAGTCTCGAACTCCCGACCTCACAGTCCACCCAGCTTGGCCTCCCAAAGTGCTGGGATTACAGGCCTGAGCCACTGCACCCAGCCTATTTTTTATATTTTAATAGAAGGTAAATATTAGGGCCAGGCACAGTGGTTCATGCCTGTAATCTCAGCACTTCGGGAGGCCAAGGCAGGTGAATCACCTGAGGTCAGGAGTTTGACACCAGCCTGGCCAACACTGTGAAACCCTGTCTGTACTAAAAATGCAAAAATTAGCTGGCTGTGCCTGGCACGGTGGCTCACACCTGTAATCCCAGCACTTTGGGAGGCAGAGGCTGGCGGATCACCAGGTCAGGAGATCGAAACCATCCTGGCTAACATGGTGAAACCCCGTCTCTACTAAAAATACAAAACATTAGCCGGGCGTGGTGGCGGGCGCCTGTAGTCCCAGCTACTCAGGAGGCTGAGGCAGGAGAATGGCGTGAACCCGGGAGGCGGAGCTTGCAGTGAGCCGAGATCGCGCCACTGCACTCCAGCCGGGGCAACACAGAGACTCTGTCTCAAAAAAAAAAAAAAAAAAAATTAGCTGGCTGTGGTGGTGGGCACCTGTAGTCCCAGCTACTCGGGAGGCTGAGGCAGGAGAATTGCTTGAACTCAGGAAGCAGAGGTTGCGGTGAGCCGAGATTGTGCCACTGCATTTCAGCCTGAGTGACAGAGCAAGACTCAGTCTCAATAAAATAAAATAAAATATTAAAAATGAAACTGCAGCTTCCTAGTCCCAGCCCCTGACCTAGTGCCTGGGGTCCCTGAGGCAGGTCCAGGAATCTGTACAGGATCTGCAGGTTCCTCCAGGTGGCATCCCTCCTGTCTCTAGGCTCTAAGATGGTCTCATAGCTGTGGCAGTGGCCCCTTTGTGCTCCATGCACCCCCAGTACCATATTCACCCTCTCTCAGCTTCCATGCTTTTGTGACTGTGTCTCCTTCACAGTCATAGCCTCTCTTTGAGAGCCTAAGTTAGACCTTACTATGGTGATTTCTTAATTTTATTTATTTATTTATTTACTTACTTACTTACTTATTTATTTTTTTTGGAGACGGAGTCTCGCTCTGTCGCCCAGGCTGGAGTGCAGTGGCACAATCTCGACTGACTGCAACCTCTGCCTCCTGGGTTCAAGCAATTCTTCTGCCTCAGCCTCCCCAGTAACTGGGATTATAGGCATGTGCCGCCCTGCCTATCTAATTTCTGTATCTTTAGTAGAGACGGGGTATTTCCAGGCTGGTCTCAAACTCCTGACCTCAGGTGATCCACCCACCTCAGCCTCCCAAAGTGCTAGGATCACAGATATGAGTCACTGTGCAGCACCCAGACAATTCGTTTCTTAAAGCCCAATAAAACTTGTTGATATGACCTACAGGAATTTCCTAGAATCTGTCATGTGAGATTTCGGCTTAGTGTGCTTGCTTCTCTCACATACCAGTCTCAACCTTTTAAAAAAAAAAATTCAACTTTGATTTTAGATTCAGGGGGTACATGTGCAGGTCTGTTTATATGGGTACATTGCATGACGCTAAGATTTGAGGTCCAGATGATCCCGTCACCAAGGTAGTGCACATAATACCCAATGGGGAGTCTCTCAGCCCTCGGCCCCTCCCTCTGGTAGTCCCCAGTGTCTATTGTTCCATCTTTAAATCCCAACCTTCTTTTTGAGTGTGAGCCTCCTGTTCAGCCACTGGCTCGAGGGGTGACCTTTGCTGGTGGAGGGTACTGAGCTGGGTGTGCTCTGAGGTCTCCGCCCTGCCACTACCTTACGTGACCTCAGGCAAGACCACAACCAGAATCTTAAAGACCATAATCGGTAGCTCTTGAAAGCCAAGTTAAACACTGGAATATCCAGTGACGTTTGTTAAAAATAGATTGCTGGGCCTGGCACGTTGGCTCACGCCTATAATCCCAGCACTCTGGGAGGCCGAGGCGGGCGGATCATGAGGTCAGGAGATCGAGACCATCCTGGCTAACACGGTGAAACCCAGTCCCTACTAAAAATACAAAAATTAGCTGGGCATGGTAGCAGGCTCCTGTAGTCCCAGCTACTCGGGAGGCTGAGGCAGGAGAATGGTGTGAACCCGGGAGGCAGAGCTTGCAGTGAGCCGAGATCTCGCCACTGCACTCCAGCCTGGGCAACAGAGCCAGACTCTGTCTCAAATAAATAAATAAATAAATAAATAAATAAATAGATTCCTGATTCCTACCCCAGACCCACTGAGTTGGTCTTAGGAGAAGTGAGTTAAGATTTTCAAAAGCTCTCCAGGTGATTCTGAGGCTCTGGCAAGTATGTAAAATACTGCACTGTCCAAGCTCATCCAAATAGTCTGTTGCATACACGCAGAGTCCATGTTTATATTCTTTATCTGACATTCTGCCACACACATCAGGGTGAGTACCAGTCATGGAGGTAGGAGCGGCAGTGCTTTGATGAGGCTGAACTCCCTGCTCTATATTGTACCTGTGAAATCTCAGCTAGAAGGCAGGTCTAATGTTAGCCCAGTTCTAACGCCAGCATATCTTGTTTGGAAATGATTTTCATAACTGCAACAAATGCCTCAGTATCCTGCCAATGGCCTGGGCATCTGCCATTTCTGGGCACACCAGTCCAAGTGGCAACTGCCCACGCTTGCACCTCTGCTGGAGAGGTTTCCTGCTGGAGCCCAGTGTGTCTGCACAAGGCAGGCAGAAGTGCTGGGGATGGAGAATCAAAGCCACCCAGGAGCAGCCGGCAGCCAGTGACTGACCTCAGCTCCTGGAGGGGCAAGATGACGCCAAGGTGTGTGCCACACTGTCTCCCTGCATTGCACAACAGGACTGGACCCTGGTAACTGGCTGGGTAGCTCCCCCTGTACTGGATCCTACCCCTCCCTGCCTCACATCTTTGTTGCCCTATAGGTTATTCCCAGGATCACCTCTCAAATAAACTACTGGTACTAGAATCTTTGTCCCAGGCTCTGTTTCTGGGAAAACCCAAATTAATTTTTTTTTTTTAATGGAGTCTCACTGTTGCCCAGGCTGGAGTGCAGTGGCTCGATCTTGGCTCACTGCAACCTCTGCCTCCCGCGTTCCAGTGATTCTCCTGCCTCAGCCTCCCGAGCTGCTGGGTCTACAGGTGCTCACCACCATGCCTGGCTAGTTTTTTGTGTTTTCAGTAGAGATGGGGTTTCACTATGTTGGCCAGGCTGGTCTCGAACTCCTAGCCTCAAGTGATCTGCCCGCCTTGGCCTCCCAAAGTGCTAGGATTACAGGCGTAAGCCACTGCACCTGACCTGAAGTAATTTTTTTTTTTAAAGTTTACTTTGCTCACAATAATATGAAAACGTTAAGGTATGCGAGTTGGAAGAATAAAAATCTTCCTCCCATAAGCCGGTGGTTTTTGTTTGTTTGTTTGTTTGTTTTTGGCTTTTTTCCCTATGTTGGCATCTGTTTGTGTTAGGTTTGCTCAGGTGGATGCTATGATTTTTTGTAGACAGTTTTGTCTCCTGCTGTAACCATTGTCCTCATGCTGCCATGAATCCTTGGTCAGGATGACTTTTACTGGCTTCATAGTTGGGTGGTTCTGGCTTGGCCATGACCAATCGATGCTGTTTCTGTCTCTCGTCCTTGCAGGTATTCGTCCCTACAAATGCAACGTCTGCAATAAAGCCTTCACCCAGCGCTGCTCTCTGGAGTCCCACCTGAAGAAGATCCACGGGGTGCAGCAGCAGTACGCCTATAAGCAGCGGCGGGACAAGCTCTACGTCTGCGAGGATTGTGGCTACACGGGCCCCACCCAGGAGGACCTGTACCTTCACGTGAACAGTGCTCACCCGGGCAGCTCGTTTCTCAAAAAGACATCGAAAAAACTGGCAGCCCTTTTGCAGGGCAAGCTGACGTCCACACACCAGGAGAATACCAGCCTGAGTGAGGAGGAGGAGAGGAAGTGAGGAGAAGGAAGGGGAGGACAGACGTTCACACTGCCACGTATGTCTACGTGGATTTTTGGTTTTCAGCGTCCCCCACCCCGCTGGCTCTTCTTAATTAGAAGTGACCAGTTCACCTCTGTGTCCTTTTGAAACATCAGCAGTAGGGTCCGTTCCAAGGTTATCAGTTACCGTAGTGACATCAGGCCCTGTAACCTGTGTCCTGTCTGGCGCAGTTGCTCGCATTCACCAAAGTTTGTTTTCAATGATCCTGATGGCCAAGAACACCGTGTGGGATTTTTTTTTCCCCCCAAGGATTTTCACACATGGAAGGAGAGGTATTTCTTAGAGAGATCATCATTTTATGGTGCCTTGAAATAAAAATACTTCTACTTGAAATGCTGTTTAAGCAAGGAAAATGAATTTTGTTATTCTGAAAGAGTTTACAGAAACTATTTTAATAAATGAAATGTTCTTGTGAAGCTTTTAAAAGCAAAATGGAACATTGACCTACAGCTCTTTGTTCAGGGCTTATTGTGTGATGTTTAATTTCAGGTTATTGAGGTGGGGAGGTTGATTACTTTGTATTAGTTGTGTGGGTTTGAAGAAGCAGAACTTCCTCTCTTTTTTTTTTTGTTCTTGAGACAAGTTCTCACTCTGTTGCCCAGGCTGGAGTGCAGTGGAACGATCATGGCTCACTGCAGCCTTGACCTCCCAGGCTCAGGTAATCCTCCCACTTCAGCCTCCCAAGTAGCTGGGACTACAGGTGCATGCCACTATGCCCAGCTAATTTTTGTATTTTTTGTAGAGATGGAGTTTTGCTATGTAGTCCAGGCTGAGAAGCAAACTTGAGTGTTGGGTGGAAGAACAAATGGCCAATTGGAAAAACGTGCACTGAGGGGCTGGCTCACGCAGGCTGGTGGGCAGAGATGCCTGGGGGTGGCATGGCAGGGAACTCAACTCTTGGGTCTCTTTTTATGGGCCTGGTCTCTTTTTCTGCAGAGGTCTTGACTTTCTGCGGTTAGGATGCGCTGGCTGAAGGCTCTTCTCCCTCCCTTGAATGGGCTTTGGGGCCAACCCTGGAGAATGAGGAATGCTGGCTCCTCACTTACAGGCGGGATAACAATGCCAGGAGTTCCCTCAGGGTGCGTGACAGCCGAGTGCAGTGACCTCTGCTACCTCCATCTCCTCACCTTGAAGGCCTGCGTCAGAGCCATGGGAGGCAAGACCCTGATAGGGTAAAATGTGCGCAGCTGGCCATGCGGGGCGGGGGAGGAGGTTTCCTCATCCTGTCTGCCTGGGGGGTATTTGCCTCAGGCTGGGAGCTGCTGCCTGAATTGAGTAGGAAGTTCAGATCACCTATACCCCAATCACCTACGCCCCAGTCACCAACACCCTGATCATCTACATCCCTATCACAGATACTCCAATCACCTACACCCCATCACCTACACCCTGATCACCTACACCATGGTCACCAACACCCCATCACCTACATCCTGATCACCTACACCCTGGTCACCAACATCCCATCACGTACACCTCAATCACCTTGACCCCGATCACCTACACCCCATCACCTACACCCCGATCACCTATAACCCATCACCTACACCACGATCATCTACACTCCATCACCTACACCCTGATCACCTATACCCCAATCACTTATACCCTAGTCACCTACACCCCGATGACCTACACCCCATCACCTATACCCTATCGCACCCTGATCACCTACACCCCAATGACCTATACCCCATCACCTATACCCTATCACACCCTGATCACCTATACCCCAATCACTTATACCCTAGTCACCTACACCCCGATGACCTACACCCCGTCACCTATACCCTATCACACCCTGATCACCTACACCCCGATGACCTACACCCCATCACCTATACCCTATCACACCCTGATCACCTATACCCCATCACCTACACCTCTATCACCTTGACCCCAATCACCTACATCCCATCACCTACACTCCGATCACCTATACCCCATCACCTACACCTCATCACCTACACCCCATCACTTACACCCCATCACCTATACCCCATCACACCCTGATCACCTACACCCTGATCACCAATACCCCATCACCTACACCTTGATCACCTTGACCCCCTTGACCCCCATCACCTATACCCCATCACCTACACCTCAATCATCTATACCCATCACCTATACCCTCATCACCTACATCCCATCACCTACACCCCAATCACCTACACCCCAGTCACCAACACCCCATCACCTACATCCTGATCACCTACACCCTAATCACCTATATCCCATCACCTACACCTCGATCATCTACACTCCATCACCTACACCCCAATCACCTATACCCTGGTCACCTACACTCTGATGACCTATACCCCAATCACTTATACCCCATCACCTACACCCTGATCACCAACACCCCATCACCTACACCTCTATCACCTTGACCCCAATCACCTACATCCCATCACCTATACCCTGATGACCTACACCCAAATCACCTACACCCCATCACCTACACCCTGATCACCTACACCCCATCACCTACACCTCATAACCCACAACCCATCACCTACACCCCATCACACCCTGATCACCTACACCCTGATCACCAACAACCCATCAGCTACACCTCGATCACCTTGACCCCCATCACCTATACCCTGATCATCTACACCCCGGTCACCTACACCCCACCACCTATACCCCATCACTTACACCCTGATCACCTACACCCCAATCACCAACACCCCATCACCTACACCTTGATCACCTTGACCCCATCACCTACACCCCATCACCTACTCCTTGATCATCTATACCCCATTACCTATACCCCAGTCTTCTACACCCCATCACCTACATCCTGATCACCTATACCCCGATCACCTACACCCCATTGTCTTTTTTTGCCCACTCCCTGTCCCCTGGGCACCACCTGGGCCACTTCTTGGTCTAGGGAAACACCCAGATGAGGAGGCCCTTGTCTTATTTTCTCTCTCCCCGCTTCCTCCTCTCTTCCCTTTCCCCTCCCTCCTTTCCTTCCACCTTCTCTCCTCTCCCACACTGTGCGCCAGGCGTTATGCCAAGATCTGGACATTTTAAGTGACATATCCTATAGCTTGAGTCAACATTTCTCTTTCAATTCAGTGCTTTTGTTCCAGAAGGAAAGGAAACAAACGCTTTTTGGGCAGTGAGCTAGGTAGCCCTCACTGGGCAGATGTTTTCTGGAAGAATCCTCAGAGCGCCCCTGGGGTCACATCCCTGTTTCCATGAGTAGATGAGGCAACTGCAGAGGCTGTCCTCTGGCGGTCAGAGGCAGAGGCCAGGAATCCTAAGTCTAGTCAGAACACCTCTGTTTTCCCCCTCTCTCCTCACCCTCCCTTCAAAAAAGAAAGCAAAGGCCTCAGGCTGGACTGGGACCATGCAGAGGCAGGTATGAGACCAGGGCTGACTAGGGGGTCCTCACCCCTCCAGTGTTTGAACTGGCAAGTTTCAGGGACCATGGGGCCCTGCCCTGCCTCATCTGACGTTCCGGGTTTCTGGGCTGAGGCTGTGGCACAAAACAGTCTAAATGGCCCCATTCAGGCATCAGCAGCAGCAGCAAGGGTTGAAGCTGGCACTCAAGTGTCACAGGTGCAGCCTCCCAGGACAGCCAGCGCTGAGGCTCAACCCTGACTCCAGAGGGCAGAGTACTAACATTGTGTTCTCTCTTAGTACCTGCTGCCTAGGAAGGCACCGCTGGAAGGCGGTTGATTTGCTTTCTCCTTGGTTATCTGGGTCATGTAGACACCAAAGTGAGCATTCTTAGAAGGGAATATCCAAATGACAGGCTGGGGCAGCTGGCCTGTGCCTGTTTTGCACAGGGAATTGTGAACCAGCTAACATTCTCTTTAGGGTCAGGTTTTTATTAAACAGAGCTCTTGGTTGCAAGGGACAGAAATCCAGTGTAAAACAAATTTAGCAGAAAAGGGAATGTAGTAGCTGAAAAGCCTAGGGTTGTTCCAGTTTCAGGGGTGGCCAGATCTGGTGCTTATGTGATGTCATCTTCTCCTACCTCCCTCTCCATCTTTTAGCTCAATTTCCCCCATAGTGACTTCTTTCTCAGGCAGGCGCAAATGGAGGCTGGATGGCCACCCACAGCTCTGGACTTCTGCCTCACAGTGCAGTCACTCAGTAGGAGGGTTTCTCTTTCAGGCTAAGATCTTGGGCAGATTTGGCTCTGGGACCCACCCTCAACTAATTACTGTGCCCTGGGAAATGTGCGGCTCTCTTATCCCAGGCCCAAGCCCCTCCCTCCCCTGAACTGAGTGGAGAGAGCCCAGGTCAGCTACACCCCTGGTCTGGGATCAGTGGGAAAGGGATTCTCCAGCAGAAAATCAGGACGCCATGGCCAGAAGAGGAAGTGGATGTTGGGTGGCTATGCTAGTTAAGATAAGGCATGGCTAGGCCGGGCGCGGTGGCTCACGCCTGTAATCCCAGCACTTTGGGAGGCCGAGGCGGGCGGATCACGAGGTCGGGAGATCGAGACCGTCCTGGCTAACACGGTGAAACCCCGTCTCTACTAAAAATACAAAAAATTAGCCGGGCGAGGTGGCGGGCGCCTGTAGTCCCAGCTACTCGGAGGCTGAGGCAGGAGAATGGCGTGAACCCGGGAGGTGGAGCTTGCAGTGAGCCGAGATTGCGCCACTGCACTCCAGTCTGGGCAACAAAGCGAGACTCCGTCTCAAAAAAAGAAAAAAAAAAAAAAAGATAAGGCATGGCTGGGCTGGGTGCAGTGGCTCACACCTGTAATCCCAGCACTTTGGGAGGCCAAGGTGGGAGGATCAGTTGAGGTCAGGAGTTTGAAACCAGGCTGACCAACATGGTGAAACCCCATCTCTACTAAAACTACAAAAATCGGCTGGGCGTGGTGGTGGCATGTGCCTGTAGTCCCAGCTACTCAGGAGGCTGAGGCACGAGAATCGCTTGAACCGGGGAGGCAGAGGTTGCAGTGAGCTGAGATGGTGCCACTGCACTCCAGCCTGGCGACAGAGCAAGACTCCATCTCTAAAACAAAACAAAACAAAAAACCAGATCAGGCATGGCTGCTGTAACAAAGATTCCCAACACACCTACGGCTTGAAGAAGAGAGAGTGTTGTTTCTCACGTAGTTGTTCTGGGTTGGGAGGTCTCCATGCCATCATTTGAGGGCCCAGAGTTTTTCCTTGTGATTATCTGCCATGCCCTAAGATAATGGCATCATATGCGTGGTAGAAGCTGGGTTTCTGTGGGTCTCAGCTGATAGGAGAGTTGTCTTGAAGAAGCAAATCTTGAGTGTTGGGTGGAAGAACAAACAACGGATTGGGAAAACCTGCACTGAGGGTCTCACACAGGCTGGTGGGCAGAGACACCTGGGGGTGACTTGGCAGGGAGCTCAACAATTTGGGCTCTTCTTAAGGCGCTGGTCTCTCCTTTTTTAAATGTATTTTTAGTTCACCCAGAAGTCAATGCTGAGGCA